ACTTTTATTGATAATAAAGGAAATTATTACTTTTAAAAGTTTTACGAGTGAGTCATTAATAAGTTAAAAATCCATTTCGAATAAATTAAGAATATAATCAAAACAAAAGAGAAACATTTTTTCTCTTTCTCTCTCTCTCTCTCTCTCTCTCTCTTTCTCTCTTTCTTAAACGTTACCTTCTATTTTTGTTCTCTCTTTCTTTCTTATTCTTTTTTTTCCTCTCTTTTACTTTAATTAAATTTCTTTTTTTTTTTTATTTTTTTTTTTATTTTTTTTTATTTTTTTTTTATTTTATTTTATTTTATTTTATTTTATTTTATTTTTTTTCATTAGTTTTAAACTTTTTCCTAGTCTTTTATCGTCCTTAAAAATTCATTATAGAATCGTTTCCAATAAAATTGTGGTCTTCCTTGGAATTATAACTCTCATCGTAGAATCCCGCATTGATTATGTCGATTGCGATCAGTAACGTTAAGAAGAACGTGACATTACCTTTTAATTAATTTCTCGAGAATATAAAATGACATTGTGCCGTATAAATTTATGCAAAAATATAAGTATTCTTAAAAGAAAAAAGAGAGAGAGAGAGAGAGAGAAAGAGAGAGAAACAGAGAAAATCCATTGAGTTCACCGTTGAATTAACATTTCATGTATTTTTATTGAATATTAAATAATTTATAATCTGGATCGAATTTGGAAAAAAAAGAAGAAGAAGAAAAAACAGATAAAAAAACAATGAAAGTAGTTATAGATATAATAATGATATTTAAACTAAAGGATATTTAAAATAAAATTATCATATTACGTATTAGTGTCATTAACATATCGCGTACGTCGCCTATGTACGTTCAACGTGCTTCCAAGGCCTGCACATTTTTGAACGCTTCAAGTATTTTAATTGTTATCCATATAAAAATGGTGTCAGTATCCGAAATACGATGTAAGAATCGTAAGATTTCATTAACCCTGGTAACGTAACAAAAATATTTGTCTATGGTTGCTTAAGTAATCGGATTCAATCGAAATAACATGACAACGAGATATCTCATGACCCATACGCAATGTATTAACGTAAACAGAAAATGACAAAAGAAGAAAAATAAAAAATAAGAAAAAATAAAGAAAAGAAAAGGGGAAAAAAAAAAAAAGAAATGAAATAAGAATTTTTAAATAAAATTTTGTTTATCGTTCATAATTATTTTCATAAATATATATTATATGGACTAGTTAAAAATAATCTTTTTTTTTTTATATTTATTGCTGAGTCGACGAATAAGACTCGCGCGACATTGATTGTATACTCTAAAAAAAGGAAGTATATATGTGTAAGTGCAGGATGCGTACATCCTTTCGATTTGAAAGGAAGTGGAAAAAGAAAAAAAAAATAGAAATATATACATACATATGTATATGTGTATATATATATATATATATATATATATATATATATATTTATATATGCGTAAGGAAGAGAGAATATATTGATGTCCATTGTAAACGTATAAAAGACAATTTCATTTCGCAACTACTGTGTGAATGTCATTGAGGAAAAAAAAAATAATTTTTCATAATGAATTAATACAATTTTATGCAATAATTATATCAAATTTGTAATCATTTTTCAGCAATTTTTCGTACTCGTATGATTATTTCTCAACACGATTTTTTTTTTCTTTCCTTCTTTATTTTTTTGTTTGCTTTTTTTTTTGTTTCACAAAAATTAATATTTAATCAAATTGCAAAATATTATCGTACATTTGAAAACAAATTTAATTTCATTAATTTCACATCAATATCATTTTAAAATAATTTCAAATTTCAATTAGCGCTCGATCGATGATAAATCGATTTATAGTAAATCAGATCCAATTTATTAGAAGTAGAAGCGAAATAAATTGAAATGAATTCGACAGAAGGATAAAAGCTTTTTATTTTATTTTTTTTCTTTTTTACCTTTTATTCGTCAAAATCGATTTGATCAATCGTAAAGAAAAGAAAAGAAAAGAAAAGAAAAGAAAAGAAAAGAAAAAAAACAAACAAACAAACAAACAAAAGAATAAAAAGGAAGAAAAATATAAATGAAAAGAAATGCTGTACGATATTGAAACGAATTTTCTCTTTTTCGCTAAAACGCTGATCGTATTTTACGATTGATATTTTAATAAGAATTGACGATATTTTCGCAATAAACATAAATCGTGAAAAATATTCTCTTCTATTTTCTTTTTCCTTTTTTTTCGGTTTCTTTTTTTTTTTTTTGTTCGTTTGTTTGTTTGTTTGTTACCACCAAATCGTACATTTATTATTTAAATACGACATATATTACGATGATAAATTTTTTTTGCATTCATAAGGTATACATTTAATCACATTTATATGTTTGTTTAAAACGTGACTAGTCATTGTGATGTAAAATGTTAGAGCAACAAGCTATCCATTGGATCATAACGGCTTATTGATGCTAGGAGTATTTTTTAGAAATTCATAGTGTTTAATGAAA